GAATTCTGGAGTGTAGATGTAATTCCTTGTGTAAATCTGTTTGTTGAAGAAACTGAAGGTACTACAGAAACCTTTGTTGAAGAAGTTGCTGTAGTTGTTGATATGCTTTGGCCTGAGGAGGATGAAATACTAGTTGCTGTCATAGTTTTTGGTGTAGGATTGCTAGTTGAAAAAGCTGATGAATGAATACCAGCCGAAGTTGTTGTTGACATTTCTGAAGATACGCTTTTAAGTGTGGATGAAATCTCCATTGATGATTTTGAAGTTGGCATTATAGGCATGCTTGTAGCTGTTGTAGCTAAGGATTGTGTTGTCTGACTTGTAGTATTAGAGGAGTTCTGGAATGTTGGTGTTTTTGTCTGTGGTGTATTTATGCCAGTCGAAAATAGCGATGAAGGCATAGTGGTGGAAATTGTTGTTAAAGTAGATGCACTTGTACCAGTAGTGGAAGTCTGGACTCTTGGTGTCGAAACATGTAATGATAGGTTGCTCGTTGTACCTGAACCTATAGTAGAAGACTTTGCTGAAGAGGTTTCTGTAGATGTCGATAAGCTTCCACTTGTTGAAGAAATAAGACTCGTGGATGAGGTAGACGGTAATGTAGTTGTTGAGCCAGGTGAAAACAATGGTGGAGATGTATTAGCGGAGACTGTTGTTGTAATTGTTGATATGTTCTTACCAGTCGTTGAATTCAGGACTGTTGATGTAACTCCTTGTGTAAATCTGCTTGTTAAAGATGTTGCAGCAGTTGTTGATATGCTTTGGCCTGGGGAGGATGTTATACTTGTTGCTGTCATAGTTCTTGGTGTAGGAATGCTAGTTGAAAATGCTGATAAATGAATACCAGCAGAAGTTGTTGTTGATATTCCTGAAGATACGCTTTTGAGAGTGGATGAAACTTCCAATGATGATTTTGAAGTTGGTGTTATAGGCATGCTTGTAGCTGTTGTAGCTAAGGAATGTGTTGTCTGGCTTGTAGTATTTGAGGAGTTCTGGAATGTTGGTGTTTTTGTCGGTGGTGTATTCATGCCAGTCGAAAATAGCGATGAAGGCATAGTGGTAGAAATTGTTGTTGATGTAGATCTTTTTGCAGCAGTAGTATAAGTCGGGATTCTTGTTGTCGTAATATGTAATGATAGGTGGCTCATTGTTGTAACTGAAGCTGCAGTAGAAGACTTTGAATAAGATGTTTCTGTAGATGTCGATGAGCTTTCACTTGTTGAGGACATAAGACTTGTGGATGTGGTAGTAGGCAATGTAGTTGTTGAGCCAGGTGAAAACAATGGTGAAGGTCTACTAGTAGAGACTGTTGTCAGAATTGTTGATATGTTTTTACCAGTGGAAAAATTCTGCACTGTTGTTGTAACATATTTTGTAAACCTGCTTGAAGAAACTGAAGGTAGAGAAGAAAAAGTCGTTGAAGATGTTTCAGTAGTTGTTGGTATGGTTGATGAGGAAAAAAATGGTGACGGCATACTAGTAGATATTGATGTTGATTGAAATGTAGATTTAGTCAAGGAACTTTGGACCATTGATGTTGTACTTGGTGAAGACATTGTAGGAATTGTTGATACAGTTTGTGTTGTCACGTTTGCACAGTTTTTTGTACAACAGAATACTCTAATTTCATAGTCATAGCATTGTTGTGCAAGGCCTTGATGTCTGTTTATGCACACTAATCCATCTTTTGTATTGCACTTTACAACCTGGCCAAGTTGTGAAATAGGAACTGTGGGATAGTGTTTAGCACGACACTGTATGTCCTTTGTTGTTGGGCATGTAACAGAATAGATGTCAGTTATTTTTTCAATGGAAACTATTTCACCACCATCAGGACCTGTAGTTGAGTCACCAAAATCATTCCATTCTGACCAGTGACAATTACATGCAGGGGTAGGTTCAAGTGTAACTATTTTCAACGTTGTGGATGTTGGAGACATTGTTGATTTGCTTGTGGATGCATTTATTGCCTGAGTTGTTGATAATCGTGGGGTATTGGATGAATGCAGAAGTGAAGATGTTTCAGTCAATGGTGTAGTCATGTCAGTTAAAAACACTTTAGAAGATGTTCTTTCAGATATCTTTGCTGGTGTTGTAGGTATACTTTTATCAAGGGAGAATTTTTGGACTGTTGATGTGGTAACTGGTTGTACAAGCTTACTTGTTAAAGAAACTGAATGTGTAGCAGGAAATGATGTTGAAGTTGAAGTTGTTGTTGTTGGTATTAGTGTCATGTTTGCATTTATAGAGGAAATTAGGCTTACTGGTGTTGTAGTTGGTGATGCCGGCATGCTGTTTGAAAAAGTTGGAGAATGAGTCCCAACAGAAAATGCTGATATATCTGTGGATATGCTTGAAACACTGGAGGACCTTTGGACTGCTGATGTTGTACTCTGTGGAACATTGATCATTGTTGATAATACTGTAGTAGGAGCTGTATTTAGGGTTTGTGTTGTAATTTTGTCACAGTTTTCATCACAACAGAATGCTCTAATCTCATAGACATAACATTGCTGTGCAAGCCCTTGCTGTTTATCCAAGCATACTAGTCCATCTTTTGTATTGCACTTCACAAACTGTCCAAGCTGTGAAAGAGGTACACCAGGATAAAGTTTTGCACGACACTGTATATCTTTCAGAGCTGAGCATGTACTTGGACAGGATTTAGTAATTCTTTCAATAGGAATTATTTCACCACCATCAGCACTCATTGTTGAGCCACCATAATCACTCCAATCTAACCAATGACAATTGCATTCATGCACAAGAGGACTTGTTTTTACAGTTGTGGATATTGGAGAAATTGTCAATTGGCTTGAAGATGTTTTTACTGTTGGAGATGTAAATACGCTCATGATGTTGGAGGAATTCTGGACTGAAATTGATGTCATGCTAGAAGAAACCACTGGTGAAGCTGCAACTGTAGACATTGCTTTTGTAGTCAATGTTATGTTTTTACTAGGTGGAAAACTAGGTAGTGTTTGTGTTGTAACTTCTTGTGTAAACCTGCTTGTTGAAAAAAATGAAGATGTAGTAGGCAATATTAATGAATTAGAAGTTTTTACAGTACTTGTTGGAATATTTGCATTTGTAGAAGAAATGTGGCTTGTTGATGTAGTTGGAGATTTAGGCATGCTGGATAAAAATGCTAAAGGTGTCCCAATAGAAGTTATTGTAGATGGATCTGTGTATATTGTGCTTGAAGGCAAAAGAGTTGTTGACAACACAGAAGGAGCTGTACTTATAGTGTGCGTTGTGATGTTGCCACAATGTTCATCACAACAGAAAACTCTAATTTCATAGTCATAGCATTGCTGCGTAAGACCTTGGTGTTTGTTTAAGCAAATTAGTCCATCTATTGTATTGCACTTTACAATCTGGCCAAGCTCAGAAAGAGTAACTCCAGGATAGTGTTTTGCACGGCATTGTACTTCCATTAGTGTTAAGCATATAGAAAGATTAGTGTCAGTTATTTCTTCAATAGGTACTGTTTCACCACCATCAGGTCCTTTTGTTGGTTCACCAAAGTCATTCCAATTGGACCAGTGACAATTACACACAGGGGCAGAAATAAGAGTGCTTGTTTTAATTGTTGTCGATATTGCAGAAATTGTTGAAAGGTCTGAAGATGTCTTTGTTGTTGGATTTGTAGATATGCTTGTAATGTTGGAGGTATTTTGAATTAAAGTTGGTAGTATATGCATGCTTGTAGCTGTTGTAGCTAAGGATTGAGTTGTCAGGCTCGTAATGCTAGAGGGACTGGGGGCTGTTTGTGTTTCAGTCTGTGGTGTATTCATTCCAGTTGAAAACAGCGGTAAAGGCATATTAGTAGAAATTGTTGATGGTGTGGGTATGCTTCTACTAGTAGTGGAACTCTGGACACTTGGTGTTGTAACATGCAATGTTAACTTGCTTGTTGTTGAGACTGGAGTTGTAGTAGAAGACTTTGCTGAAGATATTGCTGTAGATGCTGTGGTGCTTCCACCTGTGAAGGAAATAAGACTTGTGGATTCGATACTCTGTGATGTAGTGGTTGTATTTGGTGCAAACATCGGCGGGAATGTACCAGTGGAGAGATTTTGTACTGTTGGTGGATCTAATGTTGCTGTGGATGGAAGTTTATTTCCACTTGTTGAGAAAATAAGACTTGTGGATGAGGTATTTGTTGGTGTAGTAGTGTAGCTAGTTGAAAATGATGTTGGAGGAGTACCAGTAGAGATTGTTGTTTGAATTGTGGATATGCTTTTACCAGTAGAGGACATTCCTGAAGATACGCTTTTGAGAGTGGATGAAATCTCCAATGATGATTTTGAAGTTGGTGTTATAGGCATGCTTGTAGCTGTTGTAGCTAAGGATTGTGTTGTCTGGCTTGTAGTATTTAAGGAGTTCTGGAATGTGGGTGTTTTTGTTGGTGGTGTATTCATGCCAGTCGAAAATAGCGATGAAGGCATAGTGGTAGAAATTGTTGTTGATGTAGATGTGCTTGTACCAGTAGTAGAAGTCTGGACTCTTGGTGTCGAAACATGCAATGATAAGTTGCTCATTGTTGTACCTGAACCTGTAGTAGAAGACTTTGCTGAAGATGTTTCTGTAGATGTCGATGAGCTTCCAATTGTTGAAGAAAATAGACTTGTGGATGAAGTTGTCAGTAATGTAGTTGTTGAGCCAGGTGTAAACAATGATGGAGATGTATTAGTGGAGACTGTTGTTGTAATTGTTGACATGTTCTTACTAGTGGAGGAATTCTGGACAGTTGATGTAACTCCTTGTGTAAATCTGCTTGTTGAAGAAATTGAAGGTACTACAGAAAACTTTGTTGAAGATGTTGCTGTAGATGTAATCGTTTTTCCACTTGTTGAGGAAAGAAGACTTGTGGATGTGGTATTTGCTGGTGTAGTAATGTAGCTAGCTGAAAATGATGCTGGAGGTTTACCAGTAGAGGTCGTTGGAATTGTAGATATGCTTTCACCAGTAAAGTATTTCTGGGCTGTTGTTGTTACTTCTTGATTAAATTTGCTTGTTGAAGAAACCGAAGGTAGAGAAGAAAGCTTTGTTAAAGATGTTGAAGTAGTTGTTTGTATGCTTGTGGAGGAAAAAAGTGGTAAAGGTGTTCTAGTAGAAATTTTTGTTGACTGATATGGATACATAGTTGAAGAACGTTGGACCGTTGATGTTGTACTTGGTGATATATCCATGTTGGTTGAAGGAGTAGGACTTGTTACAAACTTTGTTGTCATGATGGCACAGTTTTCTTCATTACAACAAAATGCTCTTATTTCATAGTCATAGCATTGCTGTGCAAGACTTTGATGTTTGTTTAAGCAAACTAGTCCATCTTTTGTATTGCAATTCACAACCTGGCCAAGCTGTGAAATAGGAACTGTGGGATAGTGTTTTGCTCGGCACTGCACTTCCTTTACAGCTGAGCATGCAACAGAATAAGTGTCAATTATTCTTTCAATGGATACTATTTCACCACCATCAGGACCTGTGGTTGAACCACCAAAGTCTTTCCATTCTAACCAGTGACAATTACATCCAGGGGTAGGTTCAAGTGTAACTGTTTTCAATGTTGTGGATGTTGGAAATATTGTTGATTTGCTTGTGGATACATCTGTTGTGTCAGCTGTAGATATTCTTGTAACATTGGATGAATGCAGAAATGGTGTAGTTTCAGTCAATGGTGTAGTTACGTTAGTTAAAATCACTGCAAAAGATGTCCTTTCAGACATCTTTGTTGGCATTGTAGGTGTGCTTTTTTCAAAAGGGATATTTTGGACTGTTGATGTGGCAAGCCTACTTGTTAAAGAAACTGAGTGTGTATCAGGAAATGATGTTGAAATTAAAGTTGTTGCTGATCTTGGTGATATGTCTGCATTTTTAGAGGAAATTAGGCTTACTGATGTTGTGGTTGGTGATGTAGGCATGCTGGTTGAAAGAGATGGATAAGGTGTTCCAGCAGAAATTGTTGTTGATAAACCATCGGATTTAATTGTAACAGTGGGTGATCCATGTTCTGCTGATGTTGTACTTGATGGTACATGCATACTTGTTGACATTGTTGCAGGACTTAAGGTCTGTGTTGAAATGTTGTCACAGTTTTCATTGCAACAGAATAATCTAACCTCATAATCATAGCATTGCTGTGCAAGGCCTTGGTGTTTATTTAAGCAAACTAGTCCATCTATTATATTGCACTTCACATCCTGGCCAAGCTGTGAAAGAGGAACTCCAGGGTAACGTTTTGCACGACACTGTATTTCTTTAATTGCTGAGCATGTGCTTGAACTGGATTCAATTATTGTTTCAATAGAAATTACTTCACTACCATTAGGACCTGTTGTGGATCCACCATGATCACTCCAATCTGACCAATGACAATTGCATCCAGAAGTAGAAGTAAGGGTGCTTGTTTTCATTGTTGTGAGTGTCAAATGAATTGTTGATGGGCTTGAAATAGTATTTGTTGTTGGAGTTGTAGATATGCTTGTAAAGTTGGAGTAAATCTGGACTGACTTTGTTTCAGTCAGTGGTGTAGTCAAGCCTGTAGAAAACACAGGTAAAGTTTTGGCTGTAGGCATTGCTTGTGTAGTCGTTGGTATGTTTTGATTAGGGGCTGAACTTTGGACTGCTTGTGTTGTAACTTTTTGTGTAAACCTGCTTGTAGGAGAAACAGGTGTTGTGTCAAGAAAAACTGCTGAAGTTAAAGCTGCGGATGTACTTGTTAAAATGTTTGTTTTTGTAGAGGAAATTTGGCTAGTAGATGTCTTTGTTGGTGATATAGGCATGCCGGATGAAAATAATGGAACTGAACTGATAGAAATTGTTGAAAAACCATTGGATAAGCTTGTAACAGTGGATGAACCACGGACTGCTGATGTTGTACTTGATGGTATATCCATACTTGTTGACAATGTTGTAGGAGCAGTAGTAAAGGTCTGTGTTGTAATGTTGTCGCAGTTTTCATCACAACAGAATGATCTAACTTCATAATCATAGCATTGCTGTGTAAGTCCTTGGTGTCTGTTCAAGCAAACTAGTCCATCTATTATATTGCACTTCACATCCTGGCCAAGTTGTGAAAGAGGAACTCCAGGGTAACGTTTTGCACGACACTGTATTTCTTTAATTGCTGAGCATATCCTTGAACTGGATTCAATTATTGTTTCAATAGAAACTACTTCACCACCATCAGGACCTGTTGTTGAGCCACCATGATCACTCCAATCTGACCAATGACAATTGCATCCAGATGTAGAAATAAGGGTGCTTGTTTTCATTGTTGAGGATGGTGAATCAATTGTTGATGGTGTTGAAATCATTTTTGTTGTTGGAGTTGTAGTTTTGCTTGTGAAGCTGGAGTAATTCTGGACTGGTGTTGTTTCAGTCAGTGGTGTAGTCACACCTGTAGAAAACACAGGTAAAGCTGTAGCTGTGGGCATTGCTTGTGCAGTAGTTGGTGTGTTTTGACCAGAGGCTGAACTTTGGATTACTTGTGTTGTAACTTTTTGTGTAAACCTGCTTGTAGGAGAAACAGGTGTTGTATCAGGAAAAACTGCTGAAGTTAAAGCTGTTGGCGTACTTGTTAAAATGTTTGTTTTTGTGGAGGAAATTTGGTTAGTGGATGTCCTTGTAGATGATGTAGGCATGCGGGAAGAAAATAATGGAATTGAACTGATAGAAACTGTTGACAAACCAGTGGATACGCTTGTAACAGTGGATGAACCACGGACTGCTGAGGTTGTACTTGATGGTATATGCATACTTGTTGACAATGTTGTAGGAGCAGTACTAAAAGTCTGTGTTGTAATGTTGTCACAGTTTTCATCACAACAGAATACTCTAACCTCATAATCATAGCATCGCTGTGTAAGTCCTTGGTGTCTGTTCAAGCAAACTAGTCCATCTATTATATTGCACTTTACATCCTGGCCAAGTTGTGAAAGGGGAACTCCAGGATAAGGTTTTGCACGACACTCTATTTCTTTTATTGCTAAGCATATGCTTGAACTGGATTTAATTATTGATTCAATAGAAATTACTTCCATACCATCAGGACCTGTTGTTGAGCCACCATGATCACTCCAATCTGACCAATGACAATTGCATCCAGATGTAGAAATAAGGGTGCTTGTTTTCATTGTTGTGGGTGTTGAATGAATTGTTGATGGGCTTGAAAAAGTATTTGTTGTTGGAGTTATAGATATGCTTGTAAAGTTGGAGTAATTCTGGACTGATGTTGTTTCAGTCAGTGTTGTAGTCACGCCTGTAGACAATGCAGGTAAAACTTTAGCTGTGGGCATTGCTTGTGTAGTCGTTGGGTTGCTTGGACCAGAGGCTGAACTTTGGACTGTTCGTTTTGTACTTGTTGACATTGTTGCTGGATCAGTACTTGAGGTCTGTGTTGTAATGTTGCTGCAGTTTTCATCACAACAGAATAATCTAACCTCATAATCATAACATTGCTGTGTAAGTCCTTGGTGTCTGTTCAAGCAAACTAGTCCATCTATTGTATTACACTTTATAACCTGACCAAGCTGTGAAACAGGAACTCCAGGATAGCGTTTGGCACGACATTGTAGTTCCTTTGCTCTTGAGCATGAATAAAAAGTCTCAGTTATCGTTTCAATGGGTACTATTTCACCACCCTCAGGACCTGTTGTTAAGCCACCAAAGTCATTCCAATCTGACCAATGACAATTGCATTCAGGGCTAGAAGTTAAAGTCCCTGTTTTCGATGTTGTGAATGTTGGAGATGTTTTGGATGGGGTTGTTGAAGTGCTGGTATTAGTGGAAGAAATATGACTTGTTAATGTAGTAGTTGGTGGTGAAGACTTGTCACCTGAGACAGTTGTTAAAGGCATACTAATAGGAGTTTTTATGGATGTATCGGTGGATATGACTGAAACACTGGAGGATATTTGAACTGTTGATGTTGGACTTGATGATAAATTGAAGCTTGTTGATGATAATGTTGGAGCTGTACTAAAAGTCTGTGTAGTTATGTTTTCACAGTTTTCATCACAACACAATACTCTAATGTCATAGTCATAGCATTGCTGTGCAATGCCTTGGTGTTTATTCAAGCAAACTAGTCCATCTATTATATTGCACTTCACATCCTGGCCAAGCTGTGAAAGAGGAACTCCAGGGTAACGTTTTGCACGACACTGTATTTCTTTAATTGCTGAGCATCTGTTTGAACTGGATTCAATTATTGAACCAATAGAAATTACATAACCACCATCAGGACCTGTTGTTGAGCCACCATGATCACTCCAATCTGACCAATGACAATTGCATCCAGATGTGGAAATAAGGGTGCTTGTTTTCATTGTTGTGGGTGTCAAATGAATTGTTGATGGGCTTGAAAAAGTATTTGCTGTTGGAGTTGTGGATATGCTTGTAAAGTTGGAGTAACTCTGGACTGATGTTGTTTCAGTCAGTGTTGTAGTCACGCCTGTAGACAACGCAGGTAAAGGTGTAGCTCTGGAAATTGCTTGTGTAGTTGTTGGGTTGCTTGGACCAGAGGCTGAACTTTGGACTGTTTGTTTTGTACTTGTTGACATTGTTGCTGGATCAGTACTTGAGGTCTGTGTTGTAATGTTGCTGCAGTTTTCATCACAACAGAATAATCGAATCTCATAGTCATAGCATTGCTGTGTAAGTCCTTGGTCTCTGTTCAAGCAAACTAGTCCATCTATTGTATTACACTTTATTACCTGACCAAGCTGTGAAACAGGAACTCCAGGATAGCGTTTTGCACGACATTGTAGTTCCTTTGGTGTTGAGCATGAATAAAATGTCTCAGTTATCCTTTCAATGGGTACTATTTCACCACCATCAGGACCTGTTGTTAAGCCACCAAAGTCATTCCAATCTGACCAATGACAATTACATTCAGGACTAGAAGTAAAGGTCCCTGTTTTCGATGTTGTGAATGTTGGAGATGTTTTGGATGGGGTTGTTGAAGTGCTGGTATTACTGGAAGAAATATGACTTGTTAATGTAGTAGTTGGTGGTGAAGACTTGTCACCTGAGACAGTTGTTAAAGGCATACTAGTAGGAGTTTTTATGGATGTATCGGGGGATATGACTGAAACACTGGAGGACATTTGAACTGTTGATGTTGGACTTGATGATAAATTGAAGCTTGTTGATGATAATGTTGTTGGAGCTGTACTAAAAGTCTGTGTAGTTATGTTGTCGCAGTTTTCATCACAACACAATACCCTAATGTCATAGTCATAGCATTGCTGTGTAAGTCCTTGGTGTTTATTCAAGCAAACTAGTCCATCTATTATATTGCACTTCACATCCTGGCCAAGCTGTGAAAGAGGAACTCCAGGGTAACGTTTTGCACGACACTGTATTTCTTTAATTGCTGAGCATGTGCTTGAACTGGATTTAATTATTGATTCAATAGAAATTACTTCACCACCATCAGGACCTGTTGTTGAGCCACCATGATCACTCCAATCTGACCAATGACAATTGCATCCAGATGTGGAAATAAGGGTGCTTGTTTTCATTGTTGTGGGTGTCGAATTAATTGTTGATGGGCTTGAAAAAGTATTTGTTTTTGGAGTTGTAGATATGCTTGTAAAGTTGGAGTAAATCTGGACTGATGTTGTTTCAGTCAGTGTTGTAGTCACGCCTGTAGACAATGCAGGTAAAGCTGTAGCTGTGGGCATTGCTTGTGTAGTCGTTGGGTTGCTTGGACCAGAGGCTGAACTTTGGACTGTTTGTTTTGTACTTGTTGACATTGTTGCTGGATCAGTACTTGAGGTCTGTGTTGTAATGTTGTCGCAGTTTTCATCACAACAGAATAATCGAACCTCATAATCATAACATTGCTGTGTAAGTCTTTGGTGTCTGTTCAAGCAAACTAGTCCATCTATTGTATTACACTTTATAACCTGTCCTAGCTGTGAAACAGGAACTTCAGGATAGCGTTTGGCACGACATTGTACTTCCTTTGGTGTTGTGCATGAATAAAAAGCCTCAGTTATCCTTTCAATGGGTACTATTTCACCACCATCAGGACCTGTTGTTAAGCCACCAAAGTCATTCCAATCTGACCAATGACAATTACATTCAGGGCTAGAAGTTAAAGTCCCTGTTTTCAATGTTGTGAATGTTGGAGATGTTTTGGATGGGGTTGTTGAAGTGCTGGTATTAGTGGAAGAAATATGACTTGTAAATGTAGTAGTTGGTGGTGAAGACTTGTCACCTGGGACAGTTGTTAAAAGCATACTAGTAGGAGTTTTTATGGATGTATCGGTGGATATGACTGAAACACTGGAGGATATTCGAACTGTTGATGTTGGACTTGATGATAAATTGAAGCTTGTTGATGATAATGTTGTTGGAGCTGTACTAAAACTCTGTGTAGTTATGTTGTCGCAGTTTTCATCACAACACAATACCCTAATGTCATAGTCATAGCATTGCTGTGTAAGTCCTTGGTGTTTATTCAAGCAAACTAGTCCATCTATTATATTGCACTTCACATCCTGGCCAAGCTGTGAAAGCGGAACTCCAGGGTAACGTTTTGCACGACACTGTATTTCTTTAATTGCTGAGCATGTGCTTGAACTGGATTTAATTATTGATTCAATAGAAATTACTTCACCACCATCAGGACCTGTTGTTGAGCCACCATGATCGCTCCAATCTGACCAATGACAATTGCATCCAGATGTAGAAATAAGGGTGCTTGTTTTCATTGTTGAGGATGGTGAATCAATTGTTGATGGGCTTGAAAAAGTATTTGTTGTTGGAGTTGTAGATATGCTTGTAAAGTTGGAGTAATTCTGGACTGATGTTGTTTCAGTCAGTGTTGTAGTCACGCCTGTAGACAATGCAGGTAAAACTGTAGCTGTGGGCATTGCTTGTGTAGTCGTTGGGTTGCTTGGACCAGAGGCTGAACTTTGGACTGTTTGTTTTGTACTTGTTGACATTGTTGCTGGATCAGTACTTGAGGTCTGTGTTGTAATGTTGTCGCAGTTTTCATCACAACAGAATAATCTAACCTCATAATCATAGCATTGCTGTGTAAGTCCTTGGTGTCTGTTTAAGCAAACTAGTCCATCTATTGTATTACACTTTATAACCTGACCAAGCTGTGAAACAGGAACTCCAGGATAGCGTTTTGCACGACATTGTACTTCCTTTGGTGTTGAGCATGAATAAAAAGTCTCAGTTATCCTTTCAATGGGTACTATTTCACCACCATCAGGACCTGTTGTTAAGCCACCAAAGTCATTCCAATCTGACCAATGACAATTACATTCAGGAATAGAAGTAAAGGTCCCTGTTTTCGATGTTGTGAATGTTGGAGATGTTTTGGATGGGGTTGTTGAAGTGCTGGTATTAGTGGAAGAAATATGACTTGTTAATGTAGTAGTTAGTGGTGAAGACTTGTCACCTGAGACAGTTGTTAAAGGCATACTAGTAGGAGTTTTCATGGATGTATCGGTGGATATGACTGAAACACTGGAGGATATTTGAACTGTTGATGTTGTACTTGATGGTAAATTGAAGCTTGTTGATGATAATGTTGTTGGAGCTGTACTAAAAGTCTGTGTAGTTATGCTGTCGCAGTTTTCATCACAACAAAATAATCTAACCTCATAGTCATAGCATTGCTGTGTAAGTCCTTGGTTTCTGTTGAAGCAAACTAGTCCATCTATTGTATTGCACTTCACATCCTGGCCAAGTTGTGAAAGCGGAACTCCAGGGTAACGTTTTGCACGACACTGTATTTCTTTAATTGCTGAGCATCTGCTTGAACTGGATTCAATTATTGATTCAATAGAAATGACTTCACCACCATCGGGACCTGTTGTTGAGCCACCATGATCACTCCAATCTGACCAATGACAATTGCATCCAGATGTAGAAATAAGGGTGCTTGTTTTCATTGTTGTGGGTGTCGAATGAATTGTTGATGGGCTTGAAAAAGTATTTGTTGTTGGAGTTGTAGATATGCTTGTAAAGTTGGAGTAATTCTGGACTGATGTTGTTTCAGTCAGTGTTGTAGTCAAGCCTGTAGACAATGCAGGTAAAGCTGTAGCAGTGGGCATTGCTTGTGTAGTCGTTGGGTTGCTTGGACCAGAGGCTGAACTTTGGACTGTTTGTTTTGTACTTGTTGACATTGTTGCTGGATCAGTACTTGAGGTCTGTGTTGTAATGTTGCCGCAGTTTTCATTACAACAAAATAATCGAACCTCATAATCATAGCATTGCTGTGTAAGTCCTTGGTGTCTGTTCAAGCAAACTAGTCCATCTATTGTATTACACTTTATAACCTGACCTAGCTGTGAAACAGGAACTCCAGGATAGCGTTTGGCACGACATTGTACTTCCTTTGGTGTTGAGCATGAATAAAAAGTCTCAGTTATCCTTTCAATGGGTACTATTTCACCACCATCAGGACCTGTTGTTAAGCCACCAAAGTCATTCCAATCTGACCAATGACAATTGCATTCAGGAATAGAAGTAAAGGTCCCTGTTTTCGATGTTGTGAATGTTGGAGATGTTTTGGATGGGGTTGTTGAAGTGCTGGTATAAGTGGAAGAAATATGACTTGTTATTGTAGTAGTTGGTGGTGAAGACTTGTCACCTGAGACAGTTGTTAAAGGCATACTAGTAGGAGTTTTTATGGATGTATCGGTGGATATGACTGAAACACTGGAGGATATTTGAACTGTTGATGTTGTACTTGATGGTAAATGTAAGCTTGTTGATGATACTGTTGTTGAAGCTGTACTAAAAGTCTGTGTAGTTATGTTATCACAGTTTTCATCACAACACAATACCCTAATGTCATAGTCATAGCATTGCTGTGTAAGTCCTTGGTGTTTATTTAAGCAAACTAGTCCATCTATTATATTGCACTTCACATCCTGGCCAAGCTGTGAAAGAGGAACTCCAGGGTAACGTTTTGCACGACACTGTATTTCTTTAATTGCTGAGCATGTGCTTAAACTGGATTTAATTATTGATTCAATAGAAATGACTTCACCACCATCAGGACCTGTTGTTGAGCCACCATGATCACTCCAATCTGACCAATGACAATTGCATCCAGATGTTGAAATAAGGGTGCTTGTTTTCATTGTTGTGGGTGTCGAATGAATTGTTGATGGGCTTGAAAAAGTATTTGTTGTTGGAGTTGTAGATATGCTTGTAAAGTTGGAGTAATTCTGGACTGATGTTGTTTCACTCAGTGTTGTAGTCACGCCTGTAGACAATGCAGGTAAAGCTGTAGCTGTGGGCATTGCTTGTGTAGTCGTTGGGTTGCTTGGACCAGAGGCTGAACTTTGGACTGTTTGTTTTGTACTTGTTGATATTGTTGCTGGATCAGTACTTGAGGTCTGTGTTGTAATGTTGCTGCAGTTTTCATCACAACAGAATAATCGAACCTCATAATCATAACATTGCTGTGTAAGTCCTTGGTGTCTGTTCAAGCAAACTAGTCCATCTATTGTATTACACTTTATAACCTGACCTAGCTGTGAAACAGGAACTCCAGGATAGCGTTTGGCACGACATTGTACTTCCTTTGGTGTTGAGCATGAATAAAAAGTCTCAGTTATCCTTTCAATGGGTACTATTTCACCACCATCAGGACCTGTTGTTAAGCCACCAAAGTCATTCCAATCTGACCACTGACAATTGCATTCAGGGCTAGAAGTTAAAGTCCCTGTTTTCGATGTTGTGAATGTTGGAGATGTTTTGGATGGGGTTGTTGAAGTGCTGGTATTAGTGGAAGAAATATGACTTGTTAATGTAGTAGTTGGTGGTGAAGACTTGTCACCTGAGACAGTTGTTAAAGGCATACTAGTAGGAGTTTTTATGGATGTATCGGTGGATATGACTGAAACACTGGAGGATATTTGAACTGTTGATGTTGGACTTGATGGTAAATTGAAGCTTGTTGATGATAATGTTGTTGGAGCTGTACTAAAAGTCTGTGTAGTTATGTTGTCGCAGTTTTCATCACAACACAATACCCTAATGTCATAGTCATAGCATTGCTGTGTAAGTCCTTGGTGTTTATTCAAGCAAACTAGTCCATCTATTATATTGCACTTCACATCCTGGCCAAGCTGTGAAAGCGGAACTCCAGGGTAACGTTTTGCACGACACTGTATTTCTTTAATTGCTGAGCATGTGCTTGAACTGGATTTAATTATTGATTCAATAGAAATTACTTCACCACCATCAGGACCTGTTGTTGAGCCACCATGATCGCTCCAATCTGACCAATGACAATTGCATCCAGATGTAGAAATAAGGGTGCTTGTTTTCATTGTTGAGGATGGTGAATCAATTGTTGATGGGCTTGAAAAAGTATTTGTTGTTGGAGTTGTAGATATGCTTGTAAAGTTGGAGTAATTCTGGACTGATGTTGTTTCAGTCAGTGTTGTAGTCACGCCTGTAGACAATGCAGGTAAAACTGTAGCTGTGGGCATTGCTTGTGTAGTCGTTGGGTTGCTTGGACCAGAGGCTGAACTTTGGACTGTTTGTTTTGTACTTGTTGACATTGTTGCTGGATCAGTACTTGAGGTCTGTGTTGTAATGTTGTCGCAGTTTTCATCACAACAGAATAATCTAACCTCATAATCATAGCATTGCTGTGTAAGTCCTTGGTGTCTGTTCAAGCAAACTAGTCCATCTATTGTATTACACTTTATAACCTGTCCTAGCTGTGAAACAGGAACTCCAGGATAGCGTTTGGCACGACATTGTACTTCCTTTGGTGTTGAGCATGAATAAAAAGTCTCAGTTATCCTTTCAATGGGTACTATTTCACCACCATCAGGACCTGTTGTTAAGCCACCAAAGTCATTCCAATCTGACCAATGACAATTACATTCAGGAATAGAAGTAAAGGTCCCTGTTTTCGATGTTGTGAATGTTGGAGATGTTTTGGATGGGGTTGTTGAAGTGCTGGTATAAGTGGAAGAAATATGACTTGTTAATGTAGTAGTTGGTGGTGAAGACTTGTCACCTGAGACAGTTGTTAAAGGCATACTAGTAGGAGTTTTCATGGATGTATCGGTGGATATGACTGAAACACTGGAGGATATTTGAACTGTTGATGTTGTACTTGATGGTAAATTGAAGCTTGTTGATGATAATGTTGTTGGAGCTGTACTAAAAGTCTGTGTAGTTATGCTGTCGCAGTTTTCATCACAACAAAATAATCTAACCTCATAATCATAGCATTGCTGTGTAAGTCCTTGGTTTCTGTTGAAGCAAACTAGTCCATCTATTGTATTGCACTTCACATCCTGGCCAAGTTGTGAAAGCGGAACTCCAGGGTAACGTTTTGCACGACACTGTATTTTTTTAATTGCTGAGCATCTGTTTGAACTGGATTCAATTATTGAACCAATAGAAATTACTTCACCACCATCAGGACCTGTTGTTGAGCCACCATGATCGCTCCAATCTGACCAATGACAATTGCATCCAGATGTGGAAATAAGGGTGCTTGTTTTCATTGTTGTGGGTGTCGAATGAATTTTTGATGGGCTTGAAAAAGTATTTGTTGTTGGAGTTGTAGATATGCTTGTAAAGTTGGAGTAATTCTGGACTGATGTTGTTTCAGTCAGTGTTGTAGTCACGCCTGTAGACAATGCAGGTAAAGCTGTAGCTGTGGGCATTGCTTGTGTAGTCGTTGGGTTGCTTGGACCAGAGGCTGAACTTTGGACTGTTTGTTTTGTACTTGTTGACATTGTTGCTGGATCAGTACTTGAGGTCTGTGTTGTAATGTTGTCGCAGTTTTCATCACAACAGAATAATCGAATCTCATAATCATAGCATTGCTGTGTAAGTCCTTGGTGTCTGTTCAAGCAAACTAGTCCATCTATTGTATTACACTTTATAACCTGACCTAGCTGTGCAAGAGGAACTCCAGGATAGCGTTTGGCACGACATTGTACTTCCTTTGGTGTTGAGCATAAATAAAAAGTCTCAGTTATCCTTTCAATGGGTACTATTTCACCACCATCAGGACCTGTTGTTAAGCCACCAAAGTCATTCCAATCTGACCAATGACAATTACATTCAGGGCTAGAAGTAAAGGTCCCTGTTTTCAATGTTGTGAATGTTGGAGATGTTTTGGATGGGGTTGTTGAAGTGCTGGTATTAGTGGAAGAAATATGACTTGTAAATGTAGTAGTTGGTGGTGAAGACTTGTCACCTGAGACAGTTGTTAAAGGCATACTAGTAGGAGTTTTTATGGATGTATCGGTGGATATGACTGAAACACTGGAGGATATTTGAACTGTTGATGTTGGACTTGATGGTAAATTGAAGCTTGTTGATGATAATGTTGTTGGAGCTGTACTAAAAGTCTGTGTAGTTATGTTGTCGCAGTTTTCATCACAACACAATACCCTAATGTCATAGTCATAGCATTGCTGTGTAAGTCCTTGGTGTTTATTCAAGCAAACTAGTCCATCTATTGTATTGCACTTCACATCCTGGCCGAGCTGTGAAAGGGGAACTCCAGGGTAACGTTTTGCACGACACTGTATTTCTTTAATTGCTGAGCATGTGCTTGAACTGGATTCAATTATTGTTTCAATAGAAATTACTTCACCACCATCAGGACCTGTTGTTGAGCCACCATGATCACTCCAATCTGACCAATGACAATTGCATCCAGATGTAGAAATAAGGGTGCTTGTTTTCATTGTTGAGGATGGTGAATCAATTGTTGATGGTGTTGAAATCCTTTCTGTTGTTGTAGTTGTAGATATGCTTGTAAAGCTGGAGTAATTCTGAACTGATGTTGTTTCAGTCAATGGTGTAGACATGACTGTAGAAAACGCAGGTAAAGGTGTAGCTCTGGAAATTGCTTGTGTAGTCGTTGGGTTGCTTGGACCAGAGGCTGAACTTTGAACTGTTTCTTTTGTACTTGTTGACATTGTTGCTGGATCAGTACTTGAGGTCTGTGTTGTAATGTTGCCACAGTTTTCATCACAACAGAATAATCGAACCTCATAATCATAGCATTGCTGTGTAAGTCCTTGGTGTCTGTTTAAGCAAACTAGTCCATCTATTGTATTACACTTTATAACCTGACCTAGCTGTGAAACAGGAACTCCAGGATAGCGTTTTGCACGACATTGTAGTTCCTTTGGTGTTGAGCATACATGAAAAGTCTTAGTTATTGTTTCAATGGGTACTATTTCACCACCATCAGGACCTGTTGTTAGGCCACCAAAGTCATTCCAATCTGACCAATGACAATTACATTCAGGGCTAGAAGTAAAGGTCCCTGTTTTTGATGTTGTGAATGTTGGAGATGTTTTGGATGGGGTTGTTGAAGTGCTGGTATTAGTGGAAGAAATAAAACTTGTTGATTTTGTAATTGGTGGTGTAGACATGCCACCTGAGACAGTTGTTAAAGGCATACCAGGGGAAGTTTCCATTGATGTATTAGTGGATATAACTGAAACACTGGATGATATTTGGATTGTTGATGTTGAACCTGATGGTACATGTTTGCTTGTTAAAGATGTTATAGGAGCTGTACTAAAGGTCTGTGTTGTGATCTTGTCACAGTTTTCATCACAACATAATACTCTAATCTCATAGTCATAGCATTGTTGTGCAAGGCCTTGGTGTTTATTCAGGCAAACTAGTCCATCTATTGTATCGCACTTCACAACCTGACCAAGCTGTAAAAGAGAAACTGCGGGATAATGTTTTGCACGACACTGTATTTCTTTTAGTGATGAGCATATGGTGGCATAGATGTCAGATATTCTTTCAAATGTTACTATTTCACCTCCATCTGGACCTGCTGTTGGTCCACCAAAATCATTCCAATCTGACCAATGACAATTACATCCAGGGCTGAAAGTAAAGTTATTTGTTATCAATGGTGTGAATGTTGGTGAAGTTTTTAATGGGTTTGTTGAAACAACAGTCTTAGTGGAAGAAATAAGGTTCACTGATGCCATGGTAAGCGGTGTAGGCATGCTAGATGAAAATGTTGGTGAAGGTGTACCAGCAGAAACCGGAGCTGTTGAACCTGTGAATATATGTCCATCACTAGAGGTATGTTGAACTACTGATGTTGTACCTAATAGTGCATGGTTGCTTGTTGAAGATTTAGGAGCTGTAATATAGGTCTGTGTGGTCATGTTGGCACAGTTTTCATCACAACAGAATGCTCTAATCTCATAGTCAAAGCATTGCTGTGCAAGACTTTGGTTCTTGTTTAAGCATACTAGTCCATCTTCATTATTGCACTTCACAGCCTGACCAAGCTGTGAAAGAGGAACTCTGGGATATTGTTTTGCACGACACTCTATTTCTTTTAATGCTGAGCATAAGGTGTCTGCTATTCTTTCAATAGGTACTAACTCACCACCATCTGGACCGTTTGTTGGTCCACCAAAGTCATGCCATTTTGACCAATAACAGTTACATTCAGGGGTAGAAGTAAGTGTGGTTGGCTCTAAAGGTCTGGATGTTTGAGATGTTCTTGAGCCGGTTACAGTAAACTCTACTGATGTTGATAAGCTGGTTGTAACAGTGGATAACTGAATTATTGGTGTTGTTGGTGGTATAGGCGTGCTTTTTGGGAGACCTGTTGTAGATACAGAAACAGTTGTTGTTTTTGGAGTTGTAGATATACTTGCTGTGGTGGGGGATGTACTGAATGAAAATAGCGTCTTTGTAGGAGCAGCTTCTGTGGTGTATTTGGTTGATATTCCTGTCACTGTTGTCTCTGCAATAAAATTGTAAAGGCTAAATTAATTCATATAATAAGAGAATTTGATTATACACAGATAATGTTACATTTAAGATTCACTACACTTTATGGCCACTAAAGGCTGATTTATACTTCTGTGTCAAGTGCACATGTTTGCTACGGCGTGGCCTACGCATGGACGCATAGCCTCGCCGTTGCTGTAGCGCACATCTCAAAAAATGTAACTACACGTCGCACAACGCATAGCGCAAGCTCTGTGATTGGTCGGCTTGGTAGCGCTGACGAGTGTGGGCGGGACCGAGAGCCGCGCGAGTCCGATGGAGCAATTGTTTACAAGTGTAGTCCCGTGAAGGAGCTCCAAGTGGAATGTTTTGTTTTGTGTTGTTTACCTCATAGTTAAAGTTGTTGTACGTCCGCCGGTTCCTGCCTCAAAATAAGCAAGTTTTTACCACTTGTATATTAAGGAAGCATTCAGAAAAAACAAAACACCAGCAAAGAAACTCGATACAGAAGAACATAAACACAGCACTGCCAACTATTTGGCAGAGCAACAGAAACGGCGCACAGAAGTATAATAACACAGCTACGCGCTTTGCATGCACTGTGGGTCACACCGATCACTTGACGCAGACGTATAAACCAGGCTTAAGCCATTTCTTGAAATAAACTGCATCAACTGGTTACAGATAAATTTAATGCTATTTCATAAAAGTCAACATTTAGAGGAATTTATGTCCTCACACACACTGAAGAGGTTTTAAAGTCATATAGAAGACTAACAACAAAATACTTTTGAAGAGAAATCATTATTGCCTATGATTTGTTTACAATATTTAAATAACTTTTAATGTTTATAATATTAAAATACAACTGAAAATCTAAGCAGATATTGCCTATTGCTCATTTTCAAGTTCAATGAACACTGAAGCCACCAATGAGCTTAAGTTACCTGTTTGATGATGACTATGACTATATGACTATGAATCTCGTTTTGAATTCATGATTGAGTAATAAAAACAGTGATTTGCTGCCACCTACTTTTGGTTTATTTAATTTTCCAACTATAATGTTTATCACTTTTTGACAATTTGACACACAAAAAAACGCAGTTAAAAACTAGTTGCACATGACATGGTAGTAGTAAAACAGTTACCCGTTGGTTTACTGGAGAAGTCAAAGATAGTTGTTGGAATAGACGTTGTAGTTGGATGTGAAGTTTGACAAGTGTATGAAGTCTTTTGAACTACTCCATTTTCTTCACAGACAGCTGTCATGCAGCTTCCAAGCCCATCTGTAGTATTATATATTGTATCCCCATACTGATAGGTGTTCCCTTTGAATGCACAGGTGCATGCTGCAAAATAAGGAGTAAAGACATTTACTCAGTTAAGTGCCTCAGTAAGAATGCATGTAAGGCAAAGGTCTAAACATTTATTTCTTACCAGATGCATTGTATGTGCAGATGATCTTGCTTAAATTGCAGTAGCTTTAAGAAATAGTGTTATATAATTAAAACAACATTTTATAACAATTGGCTGAAATTTTTTACATGAAAACGATAGCATACCATGTTTGACAGTTTTCTGTTGAAGGAACTGGCTTCTGGTTGATGTAATAATCCCCGTGTTTGTCAAAGCAGCCACACTGTTCCCTCTTAACACATTTCATTGAATCCTCATCAAAGTAAGGATATTCAGAGGGACATTTTGGATAACACCCTTACAAAAGAAAAGAAAATAATATGTGAGATACAGCTGCAGTCAGGCATCCACATTTGCGATCACCCAAAATTTGGTTTGAGACGCCCTCCAAAGCACCAGTCTATCTAAGATATATAGTAATGACACAGGCTTAATGGTTAGAATTTTATTTGCAAGAAATTATAAGCAATAATATGCTTTACTTTCTTGGTAAATGTAATAATTTTCAATTGAAAAGGCAACATTTCAAGCAGAAATGATCAGGGTGCAAGCAATTTAATTGTTTTATAAAATCACCCAATTTGAAGTTACTGTAATTATAATAATGATAATAATAATAATTCTAAACTTTTCTTTAGTTATAGCATTTAATTTTAAAATAAACTGGCATGTTCCTTTAGAATTAACCCTAACCCAAATATCTTCCAAGCTCAAATGAGAAATAAAAACATTTTCAGTTGCCTAAACATTCCTTTAAATACCTTCAAGTGATAAGATCTGATTTGAGCATTGTCCATCTGGATTCCTGCATGTCTGTATGCAGGGAGCTCCACAAGGTTTGTAATGCCACTCACATCCACCAGAAGGGTTGTAATAATCACAGAACAATGCTGTAGGAAAAAAAAAACAACCAAACAAAGAGGTTATTGTGCTGGTATCTTTTAGGCAGTTGTGATTCAAAATAAAATCAGAAAATTATCAGTGACTCACGGCATAGTTTGGGTGTTCTCCAGGCAACACAGTTTCCAGCATCATTACAGGCTTGTGCATAAGCAGCTATAGCGCCACACAAACAGTCACGATCGCCACCACTAACACAACCACATGAGTCTCTCACACAGGCATCATAAAAATGATTGGGATCCACCTTATCAGAAGAAAAAGCAGTTTAATTATCTCTACAAGAACGAACAGGTTATAGTATGAGCTCACTGTGGTGTGTGTTAACATACATGTGAATGACAAGCCTGAAAAACTTCACTCCTAATGATACTGCATTGTTTCTGAACCCATGAATGCTTGTAAGGGTTGCTTGAGCAGGGATTTCTCATTTCTGTGGCCACAGAACAGATAGAGGATTCTTTCCAATCGCTTACAAACTTCAATTGATTAGTTTCCACCTCGCGATTTCTCAACATGAAGTCATTGTTTGAGTTTCCATCATAGTTTCCGCAAAGACCACAAACAGAACCCTGTGGTAGAGGATACACATTAACTGACATCATGCAATATATATTGGTTAAAAAATGTGTGATTAAATCTACACATTCATTTCTCACCTTGAAGTTTGGGTTGAGTTTGATGAACATGTTTTTCCTCTGGTCCCACATGACAGTTAAACCATTGCTTGCATCAAGGACCGTGTATATTCCTCTTACCAAAATTCGGTAAGGAATATCCAGCCCCTGATCTCTATGAAGAATCTGATAACCTCCATCAGACAGCCTGAATTCCTTGTTCTGACAGAGGAATATTAGTTAATTACATACATATTACTGTATAATATTGCTATTATTACATGTTTATATATGTATATAAAGATTATTTATATATGTTTTATGTTCATTTATAAGTTTTTTATACATAATATTTATATATGAATATAATATATAATAATGAAGCAGTCAAAGCACTCTTACCCCAAGCAGGAGTCTGATAGCTTTAGAGCAAGTGGTGCCAATAAAATCACATGGTATGTTTTCAGAGAGAACTCTGAAAGTACTATTGGCGCTGACATGACCACAAAAATCCTGTATAAATCAAGAAATGCACATTACAGTTGATCTTTTTTTTCTTACTATTGTTTTATTAATAATACTGGATCGAAATATTCCCAACAGATCATAGAAATTCCCTAATTAAGGCAAGGGTCTATCAACCAGGCCTTGTTACAATGTGGAGTTAATGTGGAGTGCTTTCTCACAACATCTCATAAAGCGACCTGTTTTTATCAGTAGCTGTTTTTTTGTGGCTGTTTGATCATGTGATAATCTACACTATGAAAGCAACTCCATCAAATGCATTTTCAGCTACTTTTAGAGGTGGTCAAAAGTGGACCAGCTCAAAACATTTATACATTTATAGCTGAATTTAGCATTGTCCATTTGATATAAAACTGGAACAAATGCACCTTAATGGGACAGTTCACCCAAAAATAAACATTCTGTCATCATTTATGTATTCTCTAATCTTTCCAAACCTGAGTTTCTTTCTTCCGTTGAACTCAAAGGAAGAAATATTAAAGAATGCTGGTAAAATTTGCATTTTTGTATTTTTTGATTATACTATGAATGTTAATGGCTGCTTTTTTCCCCAACATTTTTCAGAATACTTTATTTTAAGAGTTCACACTTAGCTGAGTATTGATTATAAAGCGTGTTTGGCATGCTGTCCCAGGAAAGACCCTAAGCTCATAAGATCCTTGAGCACGGGGCTCCCTCCCATTTGAGTTCGAGACCCCCCTGCTATAGTAGCTAATGAACAGATCGTGATTGCTCTTAAGAGATAACTACAAACTAGGTGCAAGTATATGGTGTATGGATTAGTCAATTAATTTAAGCTGCATGTTTTTGGACGGTGGGAGGAAACTGGTGGAAAAACACATGAGCAAGAGGAGAACGTGTAAACTTGCTGGCTTGGTAAGGACTAGAACCAGTAACGTTCTTGCTGTGAGGCAATAGTGCTAACCACTGGGCCACTGTACCACTCATCTACGAAAGGAGGAGGAGTAGGGGTGGAAGGGGGATTCTTCAAAACGAAGATGGCTGTGATATGGAACTTAGGCTGCGTCCGAAACCGCCTACTACTTAGTAGGTACTGCATTTGAATTTAAACGTACTACTCGGCCGTTAGAAAAGTGCGTTCGATACAGTATGAATGTGAAAAGTATGAATGGAATTTGGACGTACTACATCCGCCATTTGACATAGTCACGTGACCTACCTGCATAATTTGCATTTCCTTACTCCCATTCATGAATTCGCTCGCGGGGCATTATGGGATAGTACAGCATGCATGGGATGCGCACTCCAGAATCTCGCCGGAAGTAGTAAGTCATCCGGGTACTTCTCGCATACTGATTTTCAAATTCTATGAATTCGGACATACTACTCGGCTCACATACTGATTTTAGCGTACTATATAGTATGGAAGTGTGCGGTTTCGGACGCAGCCTCAGTGTATTTATAGTGGCTTAGGAATCGTCTAATTGGTGAATCATAAATTGAATAATGCAAGGCCAGCTGCAAGCAATCATAAGCACGTGATCCTCTCGAAATTATTTTCTAAATAAACTTCACTTCGTGTTCAGCAGAAGAAAGAAACTCATTATCGTTTAGAACCACGAGAGTATGAGTAAACAATGAGGAAAGGTTCATATTTTGGATGAACTATCCCTTTAAAACCAGGACTCAATGTCATTTGTAGATTCACTAGAACTTGTATAGATTAATTCTATACTTACCCCGACTAATGTGTATTCACAGTCTCCACTGAAAGTGTATGGCTTTCCATCAAATGTAATGTAATGGCCATCTCCATAAACTGAGCAGGTTCCATGGCACAGGTTTGTGGTACATTGCCACCTTCTATCCTCACAGGTACTGTAGATATAATTATAATACAAGTAGGTCATTTTGTATGGATGTGCACTGTCTTACTTATTCAGGATCTTAAACAAACAATTTTAAATAATAATAATAAATAATATTTACTTGAAGAGCCACCGCTAAAACTAAGAGCATTTAGAGAAATATTATATAAAGATGCTTAAGTGTAAAAGGGATTATTAGTTACCAATATTAAAGTACCAAGAATGAAAACTCCATAGCGGGGCAAGAAGTATGATTTTCGCAACACATAATTTATGCACAAATTTAAAAAGTAATGTAAAATAATTATATATTTACCATTCTTCACAGTTACTCCTATAAGTCTCTCCATGCTCATAGATTTTTCCATCATGGATGCAGCCGCACTGACTCTCAGCAATACAGCCTCTATTAGTCAGGTCATCAAACAGGTATCCTACAGTATAACATGACAATCCATGCAGCCATTTGGTTAATAAAGAAATAATTTAGAATTTTACTGTAAAAGCTAACACAATTTTACAAATTACATATTACCTTCTGGACAGAAACACCCATCAATACAGTGGCCTTCACAAATCAGACCTCTGTCAGGGTTTGAACAAGTGTTGATGCAAGGGTTTTCACATTCTCTGTGCACCATATTTTGATAAGGACATGATTTTCCTACAAGATATCCACATAGAAATATTGGCAAATCACATATGACGTACAAAATAATATTTTGAATTTCACATATGAGCAATTCCAGTGTTATGGATGTGACATTTGCAGTTTTTATTTTCCAGAACAACTGACCACAGAGTTAAGGGGCAAGAAAAATATCAATCTGTAAACATATTTTGTACCTAAAATGAGTAAAATAAACATGAATGTATAATATAAAATAATGTAAATGTAATAATGTAATGTAAAATATATGCATGTGACAAAAATTTATACAGTATACAACATACTTTGTAAAAATTCTGTTAATTAAACTGCACAACCCAAAAGAAACAATGCTAATCAAAATGATAAGAGTTGGCTCACTATAAAACAAAAATGATTGGTTTTATTTTATTTAATATTTTCACATTTATGAAGAAAAAGTGTCATTATGGATGTAACACCTCTTGGTTATGGATGTAACAATTGTGAAATTGCCACTTGTGTGATTTTGGTAAATCAAATATAATAGTTTGAAAACACAGACAGATGCACTTTTGAGTATTTCTGAAGTACTGTAAAATACATGCTTTATCTAAAAACCCAGAAACAGTTTCTGATTTTGGTGAAAACTGGTAGGACTGAAATTTGCACAGAATTGCTTATATGCAAAATGTCATATATGCAACATATATTTCAAATATTTATTTCAATATTGCAAATATGGCTGCTACAAGCAATTCCGTGCAAATGTCAACCTTGCCATGAAAATAATTAAGCTTTCACCAAAATACGGAAACCATTTCTGTTTTTTTTTAAACAAGTATTTTACAGTACTTTAGAAAATACTCTGATGTATCTGTCAATGTTTTTAAACTATTATGTTGGATTTACCAAAGTCACACAAGTGGCAATTTCACATCTGTCACATCCATAACAGAGAGATGCCACATCCATAACGACACTTTTTCCTCATAAATGTGAAAATATTAAACAAAATTAAACCAATCATTTTTGTTTTATAGTGAGCCAACTCTTATCATTTTGATTATCATTGTTTCTTTTGGGTTGTGCAGTTTAATTCACAGAGTTTCTACAAAGTATGTTGTATACTGTAAATGCGCAGACTTTTTTTGTCACGTCCATAACGCATGTTTATTTTCCTCATTTAAAGTACAAAACATGTTTACAGATTGATGTTTTTCTGAACCCTTAACTCTGTGGTCAGTTGTTCTGTAAAATATAAGCAGAAGTTTCAATTTAATGCTAACATTTGCTTTCTATGCGAATTTATGTTTTGAGTTTTTACTGCAAATGTCACATCCATAACACTGGAATTGCTCACACACACACACATATTTGTAATATATATATACATACACATATACATATATATATATATATATATATATATATATATATATATATATATATATATATATATATATTACAAATGTATCCTATTATTTTTAACATATATGTACATTTTAATCCCAATGGTTGAAAAAATATTTAAGAGACTACATATATTTAAAATATATGTTGCATTGTATTTATTTTATATATGTGAAATCCAAATGTAAACTTGTGTCTCATATTTTTGAAACAGATTGAAAGTTCATAACTTACCACAGAACTGCTCAGTCCACCATGGTTCAGGCTTTCCACCAGCCCGAATACACTGGCGAGAGTATTCTGAAATGGTTGTGCAAATACAAAAGGATGTGGCGCTGTTGTTGCAGTAGCACATGTCCAGTTCACAGGCTTTCATGAAGGAGTCAAAAGGGACAAGGTCCTGACAGCTACTGACTGATGGGCCTAAGAGCAGCTGCTCACACACGGATGTCTAGAAAGAATCAAAAAGACATGTACATAATCAACAACATACTGTAAATAAAGAGCTATTTTTAGTTAAAAAAAGGACATTTGATGCTCAATGATGTAAAGATTAGGTTACCTAAAGTTATAAACATATACAGGAGTTAGTTCATAGATTTGGCTTGCTTTTTCTGTGCAAACTAATCTGTAAGTCTGTTACATAAAACATATACCGTACCTTCTGAATGACTGCCTTCCTAGCAGTATTCAGTTTAAGATAAAAAAAGGTTTAAGAGTAAAAAAGAGCTGAGAATAAATTGCATTTACAGTATCTTAATTGATTTTAAAATTGTAAAACAGTATCCCTTTTATTAAACTTTAGTTTTTAACCACAGATACTTCAGTCTAAGGATCTTGAAGGAACCAACAAAAGAAAAAAAAAATACAGACTCATTTATGCGAAAGCTTGAATTTTAATAAAAATGTAATGCACGTGACTTACTAAAAAAAGTCTTGGCCAGAGGGTAATACAGAAATCGTCTCCTCATTTTAGTTCAGTCATGGTCAAATTGTTTGATGACCACCAAATATTAATTTAGTCCCTTGTTTTAATTTAACAAATGACACCAAAATATTTCATTCGTGGACACACTAATTTTACACTTCACTTAGGCTAATTTACCTATCCACTTCCTCTTTAAATTAGCCTAACGTTATCTGTTTATGAAACACCATGAAAGGTCCAAAATTACAAACCTGCAGCCGTGAATTATTAATTATTCACATTAATATAGTTTCACATTTTCTTAAATATCGACTATTCAAACATATCGATCACTTTAGAGTTCGCGCGATGTAAACAAAGCCCATCACGTACCGTTGAGGATGGAGTACAAACAGCGTGTTAACGTCATTGGTTTTGCGTGTAACATAATAAACGGCGCGCAACTTTATTGGTCTCTCAGCTTTTCGGCGGCAAATTTAAATGAAAAACTTTAACGTAGCTCACTCATACAAACAACTGCAGTGAAAATGGCCAGGTGAACAGGTAAGTACGTTATTTTTGGGGACATCGAGTGCTGCAAAATAAGGTAAGCACGGCGACCTCTTCTGGTGAAGTTAATAATGTTTTATTGTTTACATTTTTGTTCTGACACTGGAGAAGAGATTGAAATGCTGGCATAATATGTTAACAATATCATTTAATATAAAATGTTTATGAGATATCGCACTTAGTTTTGACCACAGTCATTATTAACTGTTTTGACCCCCCAAGAATTATTATTTCTTTCAGAATTTCTTTGGGAATAACCCTATGGGAATAACCTGAACAACTGACATGATTTACAGAAAAAAAAGTGTAAACATTGATCTCAATTTCAGATGTTGTGGACAGTGTAAAGGGCAATGGTTTAATAAAATGAAAGCAATATTCAGTTTACTTCTGAAAAAGGATTAACAAATTAACTGTTGGGTAGAACAATTCTAAAACAAAATATAGTTAAATAAAACTAGTGTAGATCCACAAAGAAAGAACTTACCATGTTTTTACATGACTTTGTTGAGTTGACCTGCTCCATACAGCTATCTGTTGAACTATTCATCTTCACAAAGACTCCATAATCAGATCTGTCATCTTAATTAAACATATTTTATGTAGTTATGCAAAAAAAATAAACATATTATTTAGAAACATATTTTAAGTTTGTTTCTTTATAAAACACTTGTACTGATGCATAAGCAGATGAAAAGCTAAACTATAGCTAAGGTATAGATTTAATTTTTTCAGTTGCATATTTTAGCTCATAATAACTGCTGTAAATTAAATCTGGATTTTCATAGTGCTTACTTATCCACAAGTTTTATTTAATAAAAAGCATTATTTAGGCAAAGGAAGAACATATTTAGCTATTGTTTTATATTTTCCTACATATTTATACATGTATAAAAACACATGTACTTGCTACTGTACACAATATTTGCCTTAAGGTTATTTTTGTGCTATATTAAAGTATGTATTTATTATTAGTTACCATAGTTAAGGAACTCATTGTGTGACCGGATGCCACTGAAGTCTCCACATAAACCACAGGTCTTATTTTGGTACCTCATGTCCAATTCAACCTATAAAGAGAAGAAATTATAGCATCTTTCTTGCAAAACATCAGTGTTTTTGTAAACTGATGTCGAACTCACTGTGAAAGAGTCATCTTTGTTCCACTTGGCCACTAGTCCGAGTGTAGCAGTGATCACTATGTAGGAGGAACTCTTATAAATGAGAACACCAGAGTGGCTAAAAGGCAGATCCATCCTAGCAGAAAATATACATTCAATGAAGCACTCCAATAATTCTGACCCACATATTCACACTCAAAAACATACATTCACTCACACTCAAGGGATTCTAAACCTTCATGAATTTCTTATGTTGATCACAAAGCAAGATATTGTGAAGAAAGAAGCCATTGACATCCATAGTACACTGTAAAAACTGATTAGTTACTTCAGTAAAAGTCAGTAAACCCATTTACTTAACTTTCATAATTATAGTTTGCTTATTGTAAGACAACGAGTTTGCTCTCTTCTTTTGAAGTCAACTAATTGATTTTTACAATGTACAGTATAGGAACAAAATAATAAGGAAGTCAATGGCTGTTTTTTCCAACATGCTTCAGAATATTTTCCCTTGTGTTCAACCAAGGAAAGAAACTCAAACAGGTTTGAAAGTGGAGGATTAGTAAATGATGACTGATTTTTTTATTATTATGAGTTTTCATTTAATTTCAGTTCCTTTAATGTTTCATGTGAGTTTGCAAATGTTTGTAAGTTTAATTTTCTTTAGTTTTTTTGTAGATATATAACAAATAAAATGTGTAAAAATTAGTAAAATGAGTAAAAATGTCATTATGTTCCTTGACATTACAATTTTTAATGAAGTGTCCCTTTAACTTCATAACACTTACGGTGATCCGTTTACATTGACAGTGGTTTTGTTGAGCTCCACTATGATGCTCCTCAGCTTCATTGTGATGTTAGTGATTGTTGGTTGGCCATTTTCCACTTGGCGTCTCAACTGAATGCTGAAATCCTTCTGGTTACTTCCACATGTTGCAGACATGAGAAAATTACAAGAGGATGGCAGGTGGATAAAGTGTCCATCAAATTTCCTGAAGTGGTAGTTCCCCCATGTGCTACAGACTTGTTTGTTACGAACAGGGTATATTCCTAAGAGGTGGGGTGGGATACATTTCACATAAAATTACAACAGCAAAAAAACAAACAATAGAACGCAAAAAAAAGTGTTTTTTACTTAGATTATTTGTCTTGTTTCTAGTCCAAATATCTAAAAATATAAAAATTAAGAAGCATCTTCCAGACAAGCAAATCATATTGTTTTGTTTTAAGAAATAATATACCAAAATTAAGTGAGTATTTCTTTAAAATAAGCTAAATAGAAAACATGACAAAGAAAATATTTTTTGCAGTGTATGGTTGCCAGAGAAAATCTCTAAAATTAGAGCAGAACTTTAAACACTTACAGAATGTATGGCAAATGCAACATCATTTTCTACTGAATTAACAGCTTCTGTTTATTTAATTTTGTTTTCGAAAGTGTTTGTACCTTTAGCATATACAGGCAAGAAACATAATGTGATAACGAGAGAGCCACATGATGATTAAAGTTCATTACAAATAGCTGGGTGAGGAAAAACTGAAGGCTCAGACAAGACACATAACATTTTTCAATGGGAAAGGTCGAAATAATATGTGAATGTTCCAACACAATCTCACGGCAATTCGTAACTTTTTCATTTAGTGGCTAATTCGTATGAATTCGTACGATCTAATTCGTACAATTTAGTACGATTTGCTTATCCCCCAATGACGGTTGGGGTTAGGGGTGGGGTTAGGTGCCACACCTCCGTTTTAAAATCGTATCATTTCGTACGATTTCAATTAGCCACTAAACTGGCAAAACGTAAAATACTTACGTTTTGACGTGAGAACAGGCTGGAATGTTCCAACACCATTCAGCATAATACATGTACAACTGAAACGATTGATTATCATTCTGACATGGACTTAATTGAAAAAAAAAACAGTGGGTGTATTGCATAAGCAAGTACATTTCCACAACAAAAAAATAATAATTAACCAGGATGCATTTATTATGTGGAAAGCTGTAATACGCTTTTATTTGTATATTTTTGTCATAATAAACATGATGATAACACTGTAACACACAAACCTATAATACTGCAATTTTAATTACATGCAACTGGAATACTTTTTATTTATTTTACCTTAAAGGTAACATTTGCTTACAAATGTTTCCAGTTTTGCCATTTTTATTATATATTTACAATCCTTGTAATTGAGCTGGCAGAAACTCTAATTTTAGTCACATTATACTTTAAGGTACAATTCTAGCTATAAACAAACTATTAACAATAAACTTAATAAACTCATAATTAGCTGTTTATTAATAGTTGTTAAGGCAGTCAGTGGGTTTAGGTGTTGAGTAGGATTAGAGATAATACTTTATAAGTGCTGAAAGACGGTGGATATCCTAATAATAGGCAGGTAAAAAGGTCACTGGTTAATAATGAGAATAAAAATAAACCCTCTTTATTACCCTTTTATTTAAAAGTTTAGAAAAGTTTCATTGACTAATCATCATTCATATGTTTTCATATTGAGTTATGTCTATTATACATTCCTACTAACGCCATTGCATGTTTTTACCCCATGCTAAATAAATCACCTGTCAAGAAATACAACCTTTAAGTATAATTAAATAATGAATAGTAAAACAATTAGTAATCTTGAGACCAAACTTTGTGGTCATATGATGCATAATGTCGCACGGACATCACTGATCAATGTCAGACTGAGATTATGAACCACAATGCCTTCATACTATTTCTTAAGGATTGCTTAAACATGAATTGTTTCTCTGGCTTATGGAGCCACAATAGAAGGAGGGAAACTGGTAAAGCAGGGCAGGCAATTTACAAAAAAAGTGATCAAACAATCAAATTCGCATTTAAGATAATTTCA